AGATCATTGGAGGAGAGGAGGTCAAGAAACTGAAAGGCAAGGGTATTTGAAAGGTGAGTAATGACCCAAGGTTGGACAGATGACAGCAGTAATGATGGGTAGCAGACAGAATCCAATGACCTGTTTATATCAGTAATCAAAGGAAATCAGAGTAATGTTGAACTGAATTATTCTTCATGAAAGATCATACCCTCTCGTAGTGGTATTGCTGTCAGACAGTGGTTTGATCAGCCTACGCATGCAGTTCTTCTGTCCTCACGTTCTTAGTATTTCTCAGCTGTGGCCCAGAGCTGTGTGCTGGTCACTGCCCTCCTTGGTGCCCCTAATATATTCCTAGTCTCTCTGTGTTCTTCTCTTAGTTGAGTATCAGTGGTGAAGAGAATCAAACTCAACGTTGTTAGGTGAAAAGCATCAGAAAAGAAAAATCTGTAAATGACAGCCTTCAGGGTAATAGTAATGGAATTTTTAACTTGAAAATTACTTATGAATAGACTTCACGGTCTTTATAGTCATGTGCGAATTATGTGCTAATAAAACTAGCTCAGCAAACTATTTTACACAATTGGTTGACACATTTGATATTGTGTCTACTGCCTTATAAGTGTATCTCACTATTTGTCATAGATGAGTACCTGAAATACATGTATAAATAGAATTTTGGCAATACACGTCGTATTTTCTCATTGATCAGCGAATAGTGTCAAAGATGCTTCATCTTCACTTTAAATTAATCCTAATTGGGAGTGCCAACAGTTTCTCTTCCTAAGTATTTCTATCAAGTAGTTAAATAAATATTTAAATGCACCAGAAGTTCTTATTTTTAAAAACCCAGCAATGAATCATTTTAATAAGAAAAATCAGTCTTAAAAAAAAAAGAAAAAGAAAAACCATTCTTTAACCATGTAATTTTGGATCAGAATGGACAGCAGAGGTTATCTATTACAATTTCTTCACTTCACAGATGAGAGCATTTTGAGACCTAGACAGAAAAATTAAAGAATTTGCCTCATATCACACATTTAGCTGCAGTTGTTGGTGCGGATAGAACCAGAACTCAGATCTTGAGCGTGCTTTTCTCTGCTATCCTGGTCTCTAGTTTATGTATTTGCAAATCTGTGCTTTTCCATATTGGATTTTCTTTGTATATCATGCACCAAGGTAATACAAGTGAGGCCTGTGGGTGAAAGTCTCACAGGTGCAACCAAAACGGGAATGTCTTCTGAGAGCTGTGTGCCCAGATCCCTCAACTGTGTTGACTGCAGCCGTGTTTAAACCTCGTCTGAGGCACATTTGTGTATTTGAACCCTGCAGACTTTCGTTGAGTCTGGATCCCACTCTGAGATTTTCTCTTAGTTTAGACAAAAAAGCAGTTTAGAAAACTTGGGTTTGAAGTGCCCCTTCTGTCATTTAATTGTTGTGCAGCCTTGAGCAAATCATTTAGCCTCTGGTGGTCTCGGTTTCTGAAGCATGAGTGGAGGTGATGCCTGCACTTACCTCACAAGGTTGCTGTGCTGATCCAATGTGGTGAAGATGCTCAGGGTTTTGAGTATTTACTAGGTACCAGACACTTTACTAGTTGGTAAAATTAAAATCAGGTAGTCTTGTTAGAAACAAACCCAAAAGCTTACCATCTATGAGTAAACTTCTCACTTATCAACTGGTTAATTTCATGTATACTTAATTTTATATTTGTCATTTATCTTTTCACAAATAAGATCTTGTCTCCTGTTACCCAGGCTTTTTTGTTATTGCCTTTATTCTTTGATCACTCTAAGACTTTTGTCAGTATTCCTTTGTCCGTTGTTTGAGAAACTGCACAGCAATTATTTATTATCGACTTGATTTCTTCCCTAGGTATACCAGATCTGAATCTATTTCTTACAGCAGAGTTTTTAAGTGTTTCTTAATGAGATTGATGACAAAATTACTTTTCACAGGAAAACTAATGCCATTTGTTGATATAAATTAAAGTTCTCTGATGTGAACGTCCCTTAGACCTCTTCCTGAAAATCAGGCAAGGGTGGATGTTGGTAGGTACGAAAGCCGTATTTTTTTCCTATCAACTTTTTTAAAAATGGTAAACTCGGTTATCAGAATATAGATTTACATTTATGTCATTGGGCCCCTTTTATCCATGTTTGTATATTAATATAAAAAAATTAATTCCTGTCAAACAACATGGTAATATAAGCAGACGCATGAATAATGCACGGGCAACAATTTTATTTTTTAATTAAAATTTTAAATGCTTGATATTTTAAAAGTAAAAATTAAATTTCTAGTGGTTGTTTTTATATTCTTTGTGCTGTTATAGTCTTAAAGACAAATTTTGGAATCTCAAGCTAGATCATTTTGCTATAAAAGTTATTGAAAATTAAGAATATCAGGTGACGTAGTGTCCATGATTTGAAATGTGCTGCATTTGGGACATGTTTTAAATATTTGGACAAGCCTGCCCTCTGTTAAATATCTGGTAACACTAGTAAGGAAGGCAGGGTCACATTTGTAACCAGGTTCCCTCCTTGCAGACTCCTATTTTCTGAGTTACTAGACTGCTGAACAGCAACAATAAAAAGGTAAAAGATGAAGCCTCAAAATTAAAGGGGCCTAATTTTAAAAATTTAGATGATGATAGAAGATATTTATCTTCAGCCAAAAACAATATTATAGATATCTCATGGAGATTAACAATACTTAGTATTCTAATATCGGTACCATATAAACTAGTTCAGTTTTAAATGCTCTGATCCCATGTATCCAAAAATAAATAGTCTCAATTAATACACCTAAATGTGTTGGTTTTTTCCCATTTTATTTCCTTCTCGAAGTAGAAATTAATTGATTTAGAGAAATTTATTTTACTACAAAGTTCTAAGCGTTGTTGGTGATGGGATTGTTTTATGTCAAGTTAAATAAGGAAGAGGTTAAGATGTATTGGCCTTATGTTTTCATTTTTGTTCTTATATCGAAAGAACCTCCCTCACCTTTGAAGAGAATCTTAGGTCTACTATAGTTACCTTAACAGACTGTGAGAATATGAAATAAATAACAGATCATTGTTGTTTGAATAAATCGTGGCAACTAAAAAACTAAGAAGTAATTTATATGTGTGGTGTTTAATGTCCCTTCAGATAAGAAATTTACTACCAAGTATATAAGGCAGATTTTATTGTCGAACAATTGGGGCAGAGGGAAAAATGCTTAAGAAACTTTTTCATATATGAGATAATAATGGTCTCAAGTAGGTTCGTTATTGTGGATTAGGATGCGCCCATGTATTCTTCGTCCGCACCCTCCTTTAACCCATGGTGACATTCATTCAATGGTTGGCTGGAGTTCATTTCATAATCAGGGACCTTGGAGTCGATTTTACCCCGTGTGCAAAGCTAATTGACCTGCACAGGAATTGAATCTGCTGTGTTCAAACAGTAGCCCCGTATTGTGAAAGTTGAGCTAGCCAAGACAAATATGTGTTAAGATATTCCTTATGAAATACCATTATTTATAGATGTATTGCCTCACTCATGAGACTAGAAAAAAATGTGTTCCTATAATCTGTTGTATGTTCATTGAAAATGGAGAAAAAACTATACAAGAAATAACCATCCTGCCAAATCCTTCAGTTGGAGCCATATTTGTTTTGCGCGGAACAGCATTCTTTTGTCTTGGTTTCGTTTTTGTTAGATAGGTACTTTTGGCCTAAGTATGAGTATTCAATAGCATGTTTACAGAGATGTGCATATGTTTTTGCTGAACCACCTACTGTTGATTTGCACACTAAGCAGTCTGCTAGGTTTCCTAACTTTTTGTATTCTTTAATGTTACATGTATGCTTCCAGTTATAATTCATTCTTTCTTTAGGGCGTTTCTTCTGCCTATGTCATTGCTTTACTTAGCATCATAGTAAAGCAAATAACTGTTGTGTTTTTAAGGTCCTACAGCTTTTACAGCATTAGGCACTTCAATGTCTCTGAAATAGCTGTACTCGTGAACTTCAGTATCATGTCATTTAATGTTTAGCCATAGCACACAAGTTGTCCATTATGAGGAATCTTAAATTCAGTTAATGTTAAAGCAGATTTTCTTCACTGTTACTACATTTTCCTTGAGGTGTTTCATAGCATTTGTAAAATATTTTAAAATAGTAACATCAGTGCTAAAATTCGTGTGGGAAATAACTTAGTTTAGGTTATCTTCTTAAATTCATATGTTTTATTGTCTTTTCACAAATGAAGTGGAGCTTATACTGGTCTTCGTTTGTCTTAAAAGATCAAGCGTTTGAATTACTATTTTTTTTTTTTTTTTAAAGATTTTATTTTTTTCTTTTTTCTCTCCAAAGCCCCCCGGTGCATAGTTGTATATTCTTCGTTGTGGGTCCTTCTAGTTGTGGCATGTGGGGCGCTGCCTCAGCGTGGTTTGATGAGCAGTGCCGTGTCCGCGCCCAGGATTCGAACCAACGAAACACTGGGCTGCCTGCAGCGCAGCGTGCGAGCTTAACCACTCGGCCACGGGGCCAGCCCATGAATTACTGTTATTTTAGCAGTTTGTTCTAAGCAAATTAAAACTCTGATGCAAGTTGAGCTCAGGTGATCAGGACATTGATTCAGGTGTACTTGGCAAAGCAGTTCATTAACTATGTGTTAATTATCTGTGATTGCTTCTGAAAAGCTATAGTGGCTTCATCTTTTAGGTTGCTTCATTAAATCATTAATTTTCTTGGCGCTAACTAAGCCTGACATAATTAAGTCATCTCAGTCTCCACAGATTTTTGTCTTCCCATGATGTCAAGAACACTGAGCTCGTTAATATAAGGCATTGTAATTTAGTCCCTGGATGTATTGACTTTATATTTTGGAATTATTTATAGTGTTTTGGCTCCTTTTTTATAATATTTAATTAATCTTATAAATGTATACCTTTGAATTATTTGCTTAGTGTTTTAGCTTAGATTTTATATTTCCTATGTAACAAGCCCATTTGTTTGAACCACTTCTCAACAGTTCTCTGACCCACGGCTACAGAAGCCTGCTTCACTTTATTCAGAACATCATATGTGAGGAAGGATTTGATGGATCCAATCCCCAGGTATTGAGTACCTTCAAAGCCTTTTATCATCATGTATGTAATGCTATTTTCAGACTCTCTAGGGGTAGACCGAGAAGGTCTTAAAATAATCAACAGTAAATGAGCTGTTTCCAAGCACAGAAGATCTGAATAAGCAGAGCACAGGCAGCCTTAGTTTGACTGTTAATTTCAGCTCAGTTCTCTCAGTCGATACACATAAGACATATACATACATTGTCAATATTAATTATTTTTAAATATGTATTTGTAGTACCCAGAATTAATAAATAGCCACATTTCAAAAATTACTCTTAATTCTGCAAGACTTGTGCTTTCCTCTCTAAATTTTTTATTCTTCTGACATTCAGACCTTAATTTTGAATTACCTTGTAAGAATTAGTTATTTTAAGATTTTATTTCTTATTGCATTATGCTTTGAGTTGTCTCATTGAATAAAAATGCATTTTTATTTACTATGTTAAAGTATTTTATAATTTTTTTTTTTTTTGAGGAAGATTAGCCCTGAGCTAACATCTGCCGCCAATCCTCCTCTTTTTGCTGAGGAAGACTGGCCCTGAGCTAACATCCGTGCCCGTCTTCCTGGACTTTATATGTGGGATGCCTACCACAGCACGGCTTGCCAAGCGGTGCCATGTCTGCACCCGGGATCCGAACTGACAAACCCTGGGCCGCCAAAGCGGAACGTGCAAACTTAACTGCTGCACCACCGGGCCGGCCCTATTTTATAATTTAACTATTTCTCTATTGCTCTACTTTTAAAAACGTCCTTCAAATTCCCACTATTAAAGATATTCCAGTTAGTTTAACTTGAACAAAATAGGGGAAATTTTATTTATAAATATCATGCCTTTCAGAATTCTTCCTCAGTGATTTTAATCACCATAGCTGCTAAAAGATTTGCATTTCGTTTATGTTATTTTAGCAGAAGTATTTCCAGATCACCATTATTTTTATTGAAGAAGATAAAGAAGCCAAAATCTTATTTTTGGCTTTATCAATTACGTTTGCTCTTAATTCATAGAGTTTTAAATCTTATAGATTGTACTGCTATATTTAACACTTTTTGCAAGGCAGAATAAGTAATGTTTAAATTTATCATGATCATCAGTTTAATAGCAGGTTGAAAATGCTTATGTGTGTAGTGAAGCACAGATGTTCATTTATAGATGGCTTTTCAAGTATGTTACAGTTTCTGTGATGGCCTTTGGTAGTTAGTACAATTTTGTTTTGCTCCTTGTTGCTTCATTTGTGATCCTAGCTAAGATTAATGGGCACCATGTCTTCTCTTTGGTGGCAATGCCCTTCTGCAGAGGTAAATTGGTCCCTGACAGACACCTCTCTCCACTCGCAGTGGTAACTATGGAAACAGGCATGTCATAACAGTTCCTGTGGTCCCGTGTGCAGAGCTGCTGCTCTTGCAGGATGATGACACATCTTCTAAGAGAAGAAATCTTATAAAATGCAAAAAGGCGAAGGCCCTAGCAGAGAGATGCACATATACTTGCATTTGCACGTCTGCATACACACATATATGTGTATATACAGACACACATCCTAAGAACCCTTCCTAAATAAGCTATTATTAGAATGGAATGAAAGGTTTGTTTTCTTAGTTGTTTATTTGAGTATGAAACAACACCATTTTCAGTAAACAGTATTTTATTTCATGAACATTAATAGACAGCAAACTGGAGCTAGTTTGGCTGTCTGAACCACAGGTTCTGTAACTATTGACTTTCATAAAGATTAAACAAGGTTGAGATAGACATTTCTATGGTGAATACCAAGAATGCTAAAAAAATCTTTTGATTAAAATATAACAGTAAGTTATTATAAAAATATATTTCCAGTTTTATTGGAACTAAAATATAGTTAATGAATTTCCATACTGTTAAATTATAGATTGAAACATTTGCTAAAGTACCTGTGTTTGTCTCAGAAACTTTAGATGAATTCCAGAAGCCACAAAAGTGCATCTGTCAGGCACTACTTCAAAAAGTATTGTTTCTGAGTCAAAATAATATTTTGACACTGAGATAAATAAATTTCATCCTCCTTTCTCTATCACTACGTTTTCAAATAAACTAAACTACTTGGAGGCAATATGTAGAAATAGATTCTAAGGAACAGAATATTATATACTGTAAAATAAACATTGATAGTAAGTAAAATATTATAGCTCATCTGTGAAGATATTTGGAGTGGAGACATTTACAAATTGCTGCCACAACTTCATTTGTTTTTAATTTCTGATTTTAAAACATCTAAGAAATAAACAATAAAAATGAAATTTGAGCATTGATTTTACTTAGAATACTAGGTTAAATATTTTAGATGTTCTCATAGGAATAAATTTATTTATTGTTCGACTATCAGCAAAAGTTTATTTTTTTAATTTCATTGTCCCTCGGAGTGTGCCCCGTTATTATACAGTGTGGCAAAGGAATTGTATGTCCTGAGTGACTCAGGAAATTTGTAATCCAGCCTTTGTTTCTGCAATTACCACCATATTTTTAAAATATAAATGTATTCCCTGTGTTGAAGTATTAAAGTTAATTATGTTCTGATTTGCTTTGTACCTACCTCACTTAAATATCTTATCACTCATTCGTTCTTTGTCTTAATATTTTTATTCTTTCTCTACACATATATCAATGTGTCTGTCGAAGTCACTAGACTTCTCTAGTTCTCCTGATTCTGCATTTTCGTTATAGTTTTAGCAGCTGCTCTTTGATACGTGGTAGGTAATGGTGACTGGGTTAAAACGCAGCCCACCTTCAGTTGCTGAAATATTGACAGACTAAATAAACAGTATGGTGCTGCTCTCCTTTTACCTTCAGATTTCATTCCGATATCTAGATTTTTTTGGAAATTTTCTCTCTCCCTTTTTCCAGATTGCTCTTTCTGTTGGGAATCTAACTTAAGCGACAGTTTACAAGATAACAAGTTTAGGGATGACAAAATGAACCTTATTTTTGCCACTTTACTTAAATTCTGAGTGTCCCAAGTAATATGGATAAAGTAATAACCATGATATTTCACAGATATCTTGCACAAATTCATCAGAAACTTACTTATACTTCTAAGATATGCCTGGGTACATCTTACTACTTCATTTCATTCAAGTAATGCAGAAATAAAAAGAAAACAATTTTCACGGAGCATCGAGGGTCATAACACACGGTATCCCAGGTGGTTGTCTGTCTTAACCTCAGTGCAACCAGGAAGGAAACTTGGACCAGCTGCCTTGATTGTGTCATTGTGCTTCAGCTCCTTGGAGTCAGGAGTGTTTCTCACGTGTGCTTACATTAAGTTCCTTTCTGTAATCTCATTCTTATGGTGTTATCCAGGCCATTGTGTCATTTTATATATTTGAAGAATTGTATGGTCTCATAGAGCGGTGTTCTGTTCTAACCTTTTTATTTTAGAGATGAGAAAAATGAGGCGTACGTGATGTGTGTGTCTTGCCCAGAATCCTCCGTCTACTCAGTTGCACAGTCTAGCCTCTAAGCCTCTGTCTTACTCATCTTACTCACTACTCTCCCCTTAGGTTTTCATCGTCTGTGTTTCAGGTTTGATTCATTTTCCCTACTTGCTCTCGTCAGTGAGTTCTCCCTAACAAGGGGTACACAGATTCAGCTTCCATCTGTGATCAGGGAGAGAGATATATTGTGTTGGGCAGTGACTTGTTGGTTAATAAATTTTATTAGTGGTGTTTCATAGCAATAGCTAGTGGTGTATTTTAGGATCTTGTTTCATCAGAAATCACATCTAAAGTGGCACATGTTCCAAGTCTTTGCTTTTAGGGAGAAATCTTATTTTTCCCATTAAAATTGTAGTAATGATTTTCCAGTTATTTCCATGTGCCAGGTTCTGCCTTTGCCCAGAAATTTTGCTCAATTGCTAAGGAAAGCATTTAAAAAACATTTTTCACTTCGAATAACCCAAACAGTAGAATTTATTATGAACACTTCTTCTGGCAAACACTTCTTGACAGTCGTTCTAGGTTTTATTTAATGGTTTTTAAATGTTCTTTTCCAAATATCAGTCACTATTATTATGACCTTAATGTCTGTAGGCTCAAGTTCTAAATGTTCACCTAAGTTTTATGAAAAGTGTTGAACTTAAATAATTACTGTAAACATAGATTTAAGAAGAAAAAATAGAGGCTAGTGTAAAATGTAAAACCAAAAACATGCATTTTTAAACTTCTTTCAAACAAAATAGTAAGCAGTAGACATGATAGAATTATATGAGAAATATTGAGCAATTTATAGGTTATTGAAAAACTTATGAAATTTTGTAATACTAAGAATAGTTTGTAAGCATTGTAGTTTAGATTCTCCTTATTATTACCTGTGATTTGTTATATATTATTTTAACTGACTCAAATATAATTCTTACTCATAATATTAGTATGTAGAAAATTAAAAGTTTGAGACATGATACTCTTCAAATTTTCCAAAAGTAAAAAAAAAAAAAAACAATCAGTTGTTATTTTTTATACATTTGTACTCTAAAAGATTTCCTTTACGTTGCCTTATTACTGATAGTACATAAAGCTTTTTACCATATCTATTGACATTATCTCCCTGATCTTTTATGAGTAAAAATAAGAACTGGCAGATAAAAGTAAAAGAGGTATCCTGATGGTGAACAAACTTAATGTTTACCTCCCTCCCACTTCCCTTTAGAAAAAAGAGAAAAACGTTCTAAGAATAGGAATCCAGAATCTTGGTTCACCTTTGTGGGGAGATGACATTTGCTGTACGGAAAATTGCAACAACAGTCAGAGTCTCACCAAGTTCCTCTACGTTCTCCGTGGTCTTCTGCGAACTTCTCTCTCAGCCTGTATCATTACAGTGCCAACCCATCTCATCCAGGTAAGAATTTCCAGAACGTCTTTCACCTGACTCGTGGTTCATGGTGAAGAGCAATATATAGATGTTTTATGAGTCTGATAAATTGTTTTCATATGCCATTTGGATAAAAGGGATTTCAGATGCGTCTCAGATACCAGAGCAGTAACATCTTTTAGATTAGTTGTTCAATTCTTGTATATTTGTGGTTTTAGTATATGCTGAGTGTCTAGTAAGTCCACCTTTACTGATTTTATTATTAATTTCCTTTGATTTCTTGTGGACTTGGTAGTGTCACCGTGGTGAGAGGTTGATTTTGCTGTAGTCTCTTTTCATTGATCATGAAGCTAATGTGAACATAGGTCCTAAAGAATCTTTTCACCCGTATTCATAGCAGCATCATTCACAGTAGCTAAATGTGGGAGCACCTGAACGTTCACTGACACGAGGAGGAGGTGTGGCATACACACACAATGGAATATTGTTCAGCCTTGAAAAGGAAGGAAATTCTGACATTGCTACAACATGGATGAACCTTGAGGACATTATGCTGAGTGAAATAAGTGAGTCTCCAAAAGACAAATACTGTGATTCTACTTCTGTGAGGTACTTAGAGTAGCCACATTCATAGAGACAGAAAGTAGAAGGGTGGTCGCAGGGGCCTGGGGAAGGGATGGGCAGTTAGTGTTTAATGAGGACAGAGGTTCAGTTTCACAAGATAGAAAAAGTTCTGGAGGTGGTTGGTGGTGATGGCAGCACAACATTATGAATGTATGAATACCACTGAACTTAAAATGCTTAAGATAATTGATTTTATGTCATGTGTGTTTTACCATGATAAAACAAATTGAAAAAAGAAAAAAGCCTTATCTGAATAGGCCTAGTCTCGTTCCTTCCCTGTTTCTGTATATAACCCTCCTAAAGCTGCACACTCGGGGAAGGAAGTCAGGCCTCCCCAGAGAGAGAAAGAGGAGTCTTTGCAAGATTTTCCTCATCAGCTCAAAAATTCCTCTTCTTAAGAGTGTTCAAGGGACAAGTTTGGGACTGTTTTCATCCTTATTACTGTTATTTTACAGGTAATAGAGAAACAGGAATTATATATATATTTCCACAGTATTATTATATATGTTATTTTAACATAATACTAAAAATAATATAGCTTGAAAAATCTGCTGCAGTGAATGGACTGTGAAGGTCAGAATAAACTAAATCACTGAAATAGTTTCTTCTAATGTGCGTACTAAACTTTGATCTGGAATCACTTAGAGCAGAGCTTTCAGTTTTGTTTTGCTTTACTTCTCCAAGAAATAACAATAATGAGAGCAGCTAACAAATACGAAACACTTACTTTAAGTCAGGACCTAGCGGTTCTTACAGAATTTTTGTGTATATACTGTTATTATCTCCATTTTGTGCATAAGGAAGCTGCAGTACAGAGAAGAAACTAAATCAGGGTTAAATACTTCAGAAACCATGATTTGAACCCAGAAAATCAGGTTCCAGAACCATATTATAGGAAAACTCTACTGGAATATATAACAGGTGTTTGTTCTGGAGCTCATTCTCTCCATGCTAGTAAATCTCAAATCTTTAATCTTAGAGCTAGAAAGGACTTGAAGGGCTCATCTGAGCCCCATCCACAGTGTCGTGTGTGTCGCCAGTTTATTTTTGTTGCTGACTAGTTTTCTGGTGTAAGAATGTACCACAATTTCTTTGTCCTCTCACCTACTGATGGGCACTTGAGTTGTTTCCAGATTGAGGCTGTTGTGAATGAGGCCGCTGTGAGCACGTGTGAAGAAGTCCTTGTGCGGATATGTATTTTCTTCTCCGTAGGAGTCACATCCCCCCAAACCTTTTTATTTGCGATTTTTTTATTTTAGCCATTGTGGTCCACGGGAAATGGTGTGACACTGTGGTAACTTGCGTTTTCTTGATAACTAGTAATGTGGACCATCTTCTCATGAGCTGGTTGGCTATTTGTCTTCTTTTGTCTAAGTCTTATCCATTTTTTTATTGTTATTTATGTCCTCATTATCAAGTTGTAAAATTCCTTGTATATTTTAGGTACAAACCTGCAATAATTTTATTCTGGTCTGTGACTTGCCTTTTCTATTTTCTTAACGGTATCTTTTGAAGAACTGAAGTTTTTAATCTTGATGAAGTTTATCAATTTTTTTTTAATGGTTAGTGGTTTCTCTCCCCTGCCCCTCCCATCTTACCAATCTTTGCCTCTCTAAGGTCTTTCTTCCTGTGTTTTCTTCTAAAAGTTTTATAGTTTTATCTTTCCTAGTGGATCAGTGTATTCAAAGTTGAGTTTTTTACACTACTTTAGTTCATGTTCTCAAATAGCTTTTGGCTTATTAACATTCTGATTACATTAACACACTTGACATTCACTAGTTCTCTTTTTGTTGGTAGTACTGTTTACTAAAGTACTTATTGTCCAGCTCAAATGTGTGATCCACATGATCTTGTGTATCTAGTACGCTGTAGTCTCCCAAAGGCAGGGTTATGTATTTATAATTTTCCTTTTAGCTGACCTAGGGTTATGATAAGAATATATCATTAAATGCAATAAAGTATAAAAATTCCTAACAGAGTACCTAGGCTTTTTCTAGATGTAAAATAAATGTTAATTAAAGGAATATTGATTCTTACTTGGAAACTTATTTCTAATATGTGATTGTTAAACTAGTGGAATCTTTATTATAAATTTATGTGGTTTTGATGTCTTTGTTCTAACGTACCCAAACTCTGTTCTATAAATGGCAACTTTATTAAAATGTCATTTGATCACTTTAATTGTGTACAGTATATATACAGCAGATTTCAAGTCCTTTCACTAAAAAGTTTGACATGAATAAGAAGTGAATTTTGACTCTTTGGCCAGTAGAATTTATTTACAATAGTCATAAGAGGATACCTCCATTTTCCTTTAAGGGCTTTTTACAGATTGTGCTTGAATCTGACTTCTTATTTGAATTTACAGTCATACAAATATCCTAGGGGAAACTCCTTTCTCGAATCATCTCGTACATTGTACACATGCTTGTATTGTTTGTACTGTTAGTGGTGTTGTCATTATGAAGTTAATACTTTAGTAATAGTTGGGTTGGATTTAATGAGCTCCTCGGTTATGATGATGGATAACCCTGGAGCAGACTTATCAGACGCTGGTGGAGGTCCTGCAGCTCACGCTCCACTGCAGCTGTGCCATCACCACGGGGATTTATCCGGCGAGTCCTGCATGCCGAGCACTCCACCAGCACCCTCACCTGTGTTTTCACAAAGTCGCACATGGAGTAAGTGGCAGGGCCAGTGCTTTCTAACTCATGTCTCTCCCTGGCTCCTACTCCACCATCTTCACTGTTAGATTACGTATCTTCCCTCATGATCACAAAACTGAAGTTTTGTGTGATGCTAACTGCAAAGGAGATGAAACTGAAGTTGAGTGATTCTCCAAAGTCACACACCCATTGCACGTTTAAAGCTAGTATCAAATTCAGATCTGTGTAACTCTAAAACTTAGACTCTTTCCTCTCTGTAACACTACATCCTTATGTGTCTTGAATTATTAACTACCTTTGATGGCATAACTTTCCATTAAGAAAAAAGTTCTAGGCTAACATTGCTATCATTCAGTATTTTTCAAGAGATGGCTATCATTGTAAAATCTTTGACAAATTAGTACATGAAAGATTAAGTAAAAAGTTCCATTCCAGGGGGCTGGCCCCATGGCCAAGTGGTTAAGTTCACAGGCTCCACTTCGGTGGCCTGGGATTTGCCAGTTTAGATCCTGGGCGCAGACCTACAGTGCACTCATCAAGCCATGCTGTGGTGACATCCCATGTAGAAGAACTAGAATGACCTACAACTAGAGTATACAACTATGTGCTGGGGCTTCGGGGAGAAAAAAGAAAAAAAAAAAGGGAAGCTTGGCAACAGATGTTAGCTCAAGGCCAATCTTCCTCACCAAAAAAAAAAAGCATATTTTTTTTTAAAGTTCCATTCCAGACAAGGGGAGAAAAAAGATGGAAGCCTGTTTCCTTATGTGCAATTGCAAAGCAAAGCAAAACAATGATTAAATAAATATATATATAATTTTTTATTTATTCCAAAGGTACCTATGCAAAAAAAAGGGAAAAGAAAGAAACATTTTTTTAAAGTCATTTTGGTGGTGATCATCTTTATTATTTAGAGAAGAGATTCCAACCCCATTGTGTACGTTTGCACAGTGATTCCTCTAGCCGCCATGTAAGGGAACAGCAGTACTACTATCAGAGAACTTCACGTCATCCTGTCTGTACCGCTGACAAAGTAATGATTGAGGTGATAAGGTGTCTGAATATTAAGCCATGTTTGAATGTTGATATTTTCCTGATTCCTTGGAGATGGATCTAGGAGCACACAGGGTCAGACTTTGGTGATGAGTGCCCCATAGTCACTCCCTCAGACAGTTTTTTCGCTGTCCTACAGTAGTCTTCTGGCCCCAATACCAAGTGAGCTATAAAAAACAAATAAATTTTCCCATGCTCTTTGAATATGACACCTAACCATGAATTTGGTTTTATATCAAAATATTTTAGAGAAAATGTAATACTTAACAGTTTGCTTAAATCAGTCATGGTATAAATAGGAGATAAAACTCTTAATAGCTCTTAAAGAGTGGCAAAGACAATCACAATATTTAGGCTCAGGGAGGAGAATAGAAAGTGGAAGCAGTGATCAAAGATATGAATACACATAACCTGGGGATTGTGAATTTATTTAATAAGAACTTATGTAGTGACTTCTCTGGACCAGTTGCAGTCCTGAGCTCTTTTTAAATACTAGCTCATTTAATCTTCATAATAACCCCATCTGGCTGGTGTTGTCGTTATCTCCCCTTTACAGATTACGAAACAAGGGACAGAAATTTAGTGACTTTCCCAAGATCACACAGCTAGTGACCTGGCAGGATGTAGACTCAAGCAGCCCCCTCCGGTTATCACCACGCTGTGCTGCTCGTTCAGTAGAAGTGCCAC